AATTCTGCATTAAAATACAAATAGATCACTAGAACAGATTCAGGTCAGCTGGCATGTCATATTGTATCTGTTATCCAAATTTCTTTAGCTTCAAAAACAAGAAAGTAGGTCACCAGGTCTTAAATTCTACGTCACCTTATACCAGTGGGGCTATGATTTGAACAATCAAAGAAGAACACAAGACAAGTCTTCCTGCCAAATGGTCTTGCATTGTGGTTTCTGACATAAAGAGATTTTTATATAAAAATCGACATCTAGGCAGGGCCAGTTTATGTTCCCCGAGAGTGTAGGCGTCTCTTGTTCCACAGACAACAATTGATCTCGGACATTGAGTTTTACGGTCATTTGTCTATCAAAAAAAGTAGTACCGTAGCTTAGTAGCTTAGTAGAAATTGGTCATTACTCTTCTGGTTATTTATCCATGAAAGTCAGATAGTTTAAACGACCTTTAAGCTATCAACAAAGAAGTGTTGAAATTGGCGTATAACCAAGGCCCCGTCATGATTTGAAGACATGGTAAAAGTCCTCTAGAAATTGTTTCACATGCTCTAAACAATGGGGTCAAAGGGATGATTTTATAAAAGATTTTATATACGTATAACTTAGACTATGTAAATCAATTGACCCTTGGGAAAGGTAGTTATAATCAAACGGATCACGACTTAACCAAGTTTAGTAGTTGTGTATTATATCGTGACATAAATTGATATGGTCATAGAATGAATACTTCACACTTAAATATCAAAGCATTTTATTTATGGAGAAGAAAGTTTTCAAAGCCTTTTCTTTATTACACAAAGTATAATGACTCCTGGGGTTAGGCCAACTTTGACCAGATTGTCAAGATTTGAAAAAAAAATTAAGGTCTTTTTGACAAAGCTTTTAACCCAAAATCTAAGATCTGGGCATTTGGTTTTGGAAAAAAATATAATTTTTCCCATGTTTCTCCATATGAAATAAGTTGACCCTAGGGGTGGGTTAAACTTTTATTTGAATAAATTTGTACTGGTCTATACAAGGCTACAACGGAAATAATTAGCTATAGGCATCGGTTTTGGAGAATTTGACCACAGGGTCGTGATTTTTAGCAAATTTAATAGTATTCTATACTAGGTCCTGCAGTTATGGAGAAGAATATTTTTATGTTTTCCTATATTTGCACTGTGTAAAGAAAGTTTACTCCGGGGCTTCGCAAGGAACATAAATGTGTACTTCTTGACCTTTTACCAACCATGACCTTGATGTTGTGTCATAACGATATAGTCTCACGATAGTGATTATTTGTGCCAAGTTATTTAAAATCTTCCATAAAGTCAAAAAGTTATGGAGAACATATAACCTTGACCTTGGTTGCAGCAACCTGGATGTTGAGGTCTGTAGATTGTGTCGTGGTGGGGATCATTCGTGCTAAGTATTTTCAGAACCTTTGAATTGTCAATAAATTATAGAGCAGACATGAAAAAAGATGTTTTTTACATTGAACCGTTGAGTGTGACCCTGACCTTCAGGGTTGTGACTTGATTATTGTGCTCTGCCAATGGTGTAATAATGTTTCATTTCTGCCAAGTTATCTTAAAATCATTTCAGAGGTTTAAAAATTAGAGACAGACACGAAATATAGACTTTCTAACATATGACCTGTAAGTGTGACCCTGACCTTTGGGGTAGCAATTCAATTATTGCGATCTGCACATCGTCTCATAATGGTGATCAATTGTGCCTAGCTATTTAAACCAAATTTCATAGGTTTAAAAGTTATGGAGAGGACACGAAATGTAGATTTTAATACATTTGACCTTGACCTTTGGTGTAGCCACCCAATTGTTGCGCTCTGCACATGTTCTTATACTGGTTATCAATTGTGCCAAGATATTTTTTAAAAATTTCAGTTGTTAAAATGTTGGAGCGGACACGAAATGTAGACTTTTTAACATTTGACTTTAAAATGTGACCTTGACCTTTTAGGTAGCAACCCAATTATTGCGCACTGCACGTCGTGTCATAATGGTGATCCGTTGTGCCAAGTTATTTCAAAACTTTTCAGGGTTAATAAAGTTAGGAGCGGACATGAAATGTAGACTTTTTATTATTAAATGAAAACTTTTAACATTTGACCTTAAAGTGTGACCTTCACCTTGGGGGTAGCAACCCAATTATTGCGCTCTGCATATTGTCTCATTATGGTGATCACTTTTGCCCAAGTCATTTTAGAAAAAAATCAGGGGTTAAAAAGTTATTGAGCGGACACGAAAGTGTTACGGACGGATGCTGACAGACGTAGGCCATTCCTATAATCCCCTTTCCGCTACGCAGAAGGTGATAAACAATGTTGGTTTAGTCCAATCTGAAAAAGCCATACATAAAAAAGCTCAAGATCTTTTTATTTATTTCTGGGAATATTTGAAAACATTACGCATTGTCAGTTCTATTTTTAACTTCTGTGACTAAGATATACAATAATCCGATTTGTGCTAAAACAACAACAAAAAACAATTTTATCAAATATAAATATAGCCTATGTTTACGTCACATCAACACTTTAAAAGGCTTTGTGGCGACTTTCCTGCTTTACTGAGGAAGACCTTAACATGTTTCCCTCCGTGCATTATTTCATAATATTGACACATTCTGGTCATCTATTAAGGCAAATCAGAATTACAAAGTCTATAAGAAAGTGAAATTTGGCTTATTCAAATAAAGAAAACATTAAAATTGTTTGTAAAATAAAGAAATCAAAGTCATATGTTCATCCTGATTCCAAATTCAAATACATCCTGAACTTAATCTTAATTTGGAACACACTAGTGTTCATGTGAGTACTATTCATGTGCATTACATGCTACCGGACAATTTGAGAAATGCTGTTTTTCCTTATCTCCAATTACATTGAAACTATGGTTTTAAGACTGCACTTTTAAAATGACTTATTTAAATCAGAAAGCTTATATGAATTTTGGATACGTTCAGCCGCGGGTTATTCCTCATGATTTATTGATATTTATTGATGATGAGAAAATAACGAAACTGTAACAGTTGATATGATTACCAATGTCTTTGAGATTTTATTTGAATGCTTACCTGTATATCAGTAATAGCTTATTACTACGTGACGACAATTTACATACTTTTTTGTGTGAGTGGAACACACATCGCTCCCAAAGTTTTACAAACACATATTTTTCTTGTAACTGGTAAAAAACGGTCGAAAACAAAAGCTAAATCTATCATTACACAAAATTTATTAAGTGCCTTTTTTATATTTATAACATGTTCAAATGCGTTAATATCAACAAATTTATATCATAGTTATAAACATTAAGAAAGAATACTCGACATTAAATGAAATTTCAACAATTATACAAATCTAGATAATGACTATTTAAAACTATTTGCATATAAACATACTATTTAATTATTTTCAACGTGATTTATAATAATATTATGAAACAGACCGCCATCTATACTTAAATAGTCACATATTTCTAAAGAACGAAATGAGGCTGCGGTAACAAATCTCATATTGTTTACATATCAGAAATACATATTTTGTATAATTAATTTGAGACTTTTAAGTTTTAGTTTTGTGTACATGTACATTCTTCTGTAGCTTGTTCTTAACGTTTACTGGAGTTTGTCCCTACTGTATCCGATTTCCAATAGGTAAAACAATGGAGATTCTATACAACGTTTTAATGTGTTTAAATGGAGGGGTTGTTTTTGGTAATAAGACAAGATGCCATTTGATGAACAGTCCGGAGTTTGTTGATGATGATTTAAGACATACTGACCGTATAACAAAGCATTAGGTGGTCTGACCTGTAGGTCACAAAATAATTTATAAAGAATTTTGAGGCAACGGTAGAATATGGCCTATTTGTTTTGCGTAGCAAGACATCTATACAGGATTTATAATTTATGCTGCTCTATAATTTTTTAGAATAGAAGAAAGTGTCAAATTTCTAACACAAAATGGTGATTTTTTCCATGTTACACCAACAGCTGGGCTTGTATTGCATTGAGATGAGGACACAATCATTTAGGTTTTCCAGATGCACCCTTGGCACATTATCTTGAAGACGTTCTTCAACACTCTGAGTAGATTTCATTATTATCTTTTGCCTCTAAAACTTTAAGCATTTTTATTGTTACAGTAATGGTTCAGCAAAATGTTACCGATGTTTTAATTCAAATTTGTGTTTTTTATGGAAAGTAAATGTAGTGAAATTTGAAATGATTTTTTTTTGTTTCAAATGTATCCAACTCTAAATTCTGTAATGCATAATCATAACATTACCCGTACCAAAAGGAAAGGTTTGCCGTAAACTCGCCGGAACTTTGCCGCAAATTCGCTGCAAACCTTTTAGTTCGCCGAAACACTGTGTCAAGAGTTTGCCAGATATCGCCACTAGTGGCAACTCTGTAGCAAACATCTGGCGAATTTGCGGCAAATTCACCAGAATATTAAGTAGTTCGCCAAAAGTTTGCCAGAAACTTTCAGTGGAAAACTAATTTGCCAGAGATTGCCAGAATCTTTCTATGAAAAAAAATATTCACTGAAAGTTCACCAGAAACTTTTCTATAAAAACAAGTTTGCCAGATAATCGCCACAAACACATCAGTTCTGAAAGTTAATCAACTTTGTTCAGTAAATAACTATTTTGCCAAGGAATTATATTATAATGCACATATAAAAAAAGTCCTTCATGTACCTACCTATATCACGGATTTATATTGTTATATAAATCCGTGCTATATATAACCTATCTACCTACCTACCTACCCAACCCTATTTTAATGGGTCGGGAAGTGGAAACAAACATATTTTTATTTTTTGCCTAAGAGTTATCAAATTGAAACATCATATGTATCATGGAGGGTATTGTAGTTCACAATAACAGTTAAAAAATTATAAGGTAGAAGACCCATAATGTAATCGGCAATCTTCGACAATTACCGCCATATCTCGCGATTTATCGTAACGAACTTCGTTACGTATAAAGTCGGAATTCTAATAATAGCGGATATCCCCGGTCACGTGGTAGTATTCCCCAAGAAAATGACGTAATTTCCGTAGATATCTAACATGGCGTCTTACAGGCGTGATACGCTCGGTCGATTCAAAAAAGTGTAAAAAGATGCAGAAAACCCTAGTATTGCGACTTAATTATAGAACATAACTATAGTGCAGGTAACCAGTATTACGGGTCAACCAAACCAGCTCTACAAAACATCAACTCTTCCTAAATCGGTTGATAATGAGGGTTGGAAAAAGGGAAGAAGAATCGTTGAGACTTGAGTTTGGCGTATTACGGTCAACCCTAAGATTTTGTAAAAAATGTAGACTTGGACCAGAAGGCTACCATTAACTTTTGACAACATGTTAGGTGAATTTAAACAGGGTGTGTCTGGATATTTGTATGTGAAATGTCGAAACACAGAAATTATGCGGTCATGTGAATTGTGTTCCCTATGGAAAAACACAGACTCTAGTAGTAGTAGATTGAAGACCTGGGAAAGTTGGAATGCCATGTTTCGTTGTCAACACAAAATTAGGACCAGGTAAGCGATTAATGTATTGCATCATACTTTAGATTAACAACAGATTATATATAGTTTTATCAAGGTATGCTTCACTTTACTTCATGGCATGTTCGATGAATAAATACGAGCGTGTCAGATTCCTGGCACGATTATTGGTGGACTTTCCCTACGGGGTTATCTTCAGCGTTCATGTCATGTCATAGTATATAAACGGGTACGCTGAAGACCTTAAGCTAACCAAAATGAATATACATTTATCAGTGTTTATCTACTTGTCTTCCAATGATGTAAAATTATGCGGACCAAATTTATGTTTCAGATTTATAAATAATTAATTTATTGTACAGAATACATGTATCTTGTTTGTGTTGAGCTGTAAAACACTACTCCTTATTGTGAAGGAAGTGGCTAGCCGTACGGGCCCGTACGGCTAGCCAAAAGTTCTAGCCGTACGTGACTCACGTACTCCATTTAATTTTGAAAAGTGCCGTACGGCTAGCCAATACAGTGTGTCCTGGCTAGTCGTACATGACTCACGTACGGCTAGAACTTTTGGCTAGCCGTACGGGCCTGTACAGCTAGCCACTTCCTATTGTGAATTTTTTTATAAACTTCCCTCTGAACTGTTTTAATTTCCCCAAAGTCACTGAGAAATTTGAAAAACAAATGATAAAACGTTGCTAAATTAAATCTTGCAACAATGCAATTTTTATTAAGACATTACAGAATCCTACATGTACATTATATAAAAGACACAGTTTACACTAGGCTGCCAATACCCACAGTCACAGTAATATTCAACATACAATGTACATGAGGCAGCTAAAAATAGCTCTATATAAATTTATGCAATGTGTTATTATCACGGTTATGTAAATTACAATCCATGTGAAGTTTTTTTTGACAAAATATTTGTATACTTAAATGAAATAATTTGTTTCTTTTCATTTTCTTACAGCAATGATTGATAGTGTAGGTGGGCCGGTGAGGGGAGGGTCAACAATTTGTTGTCAACACTCAATATACCAACAATTGGAAATAAAAACATGAAAAGAAATGGAGAGACATGTTGGAAATATCATTGAGACAGTGGCTTCTATCTGTCTATGTCGACAGAATCTGCTGCGAAAGAACAAGGAAATTGAGTAAGACACATTTACAATGATACTTTCGAAATAAAATGTAATTGAATTGGAAGAATTTGAAAATTATTTTGTAATTATTATGTCTATGCAGCTTATCATGGTATAATCCTATATTGCTGGTATACTCGTGGTTAAGGGAACCAAAGAATATTATACAATCCATATATATATGAGAAAAGAATTTTTAAACAATGGCTTTGTTGTTTTTGCATGTTACTCTATATTCATGTACATATTTCTTTTTTCAAAATAACATGAATGTGTAATTGTTTTTTAAAAAAGTACTTATTTCTACATGACAAACTGGGTCCGCCTGGGCTCCTTGCCATTGGTACTTGTTGCTGGGTCATATGGGGGTTGCGTTCATTGAACGTCGCCTTTCCTTGTTGATCTTGTTTATCATATTTTACCTTCATTGGTTTAAGACTAAAATTCTTATTAAATACATGCATTCTTTTTAAGGGATGTGCATCATGAAGAATCAATGGTATCAGAACACAACATCATGGAAGATCTTATTGACAAGATCTTGGAGGATGTCCTTTGCCAGATGCCTCGCCAGCACTAAAGTGAGTACTGGTAGTTTGTTTTCTGTATTTTGTTTATTTACGAAAGTAAAGGACTATGCAAAACTGACTGGTGTTGTTGAACTGTTTGTGTTATGTCTGTTGCTTCAATATATGAATATCTCTCCATATACTGTTTGTACATATGTATTTTTTTTTTTTTCAAGGTCTATTCTTCAGTCAGATGCTACAGTTACAAATGACAGTGAATGGTCAGATTTATTACAATTGTGATGAACAATCCTCAAACAATACATCAAACAAAAATTGCTATTTAAACTGTAAGTTGAAATCTATGAGGTTTTTTATATATATTTATAATCATGGTGTAGCAATTAAATGATAATACTGTGATAATTTTGTAATGCTATTTTGGGGTCGTCTTCAATAGAAACAATTTGATGTGTCTTCATGTGATGAATAATCGATATGCAGTCCGAATTATTTCATAAAAGTGATTACTAAAATTGGTCAGGAAAAAGTCGTGCAATCAGCATTAATAATATAATAATAATTAACAAAACTAATTCTAATATGAACATTGTGTTACATTAATTATAAATTAGTTATTGTCAATTCATTGGTGTAGTTTCTCAATATTTGTCAATATTACGTTTAAAGATGAATTTTAAATTACAGAAAATATTTTTGAAATATTTTTTTACAATTACAGTTCTCACAGACAGTCAAAGGTTTGAAAACAAATCAGAAGTGGTCCACATCTTGAAAAACCTCACAGCAGATTAAGACTTTGCCCGAAATTTCCCTGTAAAACCAGCAGTGGTATGTCCAATTCAGTAGATACTGCCTGGCACAAAAGAGGATTTGACAGTTTAACATGTAAGTAAAATAAGATTATTTTTATGCCCCCACAATGTGGGAGCATATAACGTTGCACTTGTCAGTTTCGTCCCAAAATCTTGTGAACGCAACTCCTCTTAAACCGGACGGCAGATTTTGCTTAAACTTACAGGGATGAACAACCTTAATGTGTAGATGGTAGTTAAGGAAAGAATTTTTGCTGCGACCAAAATTTAACAGAATTATGGCCCTTTGTTGATTTTTTTACTATATACTATGTAGAAATTTTGTGAAAGCAACTCCTCTTAAACCGGATGGCAGATTTTGCTTAAACTTCCAGAGATGAACAACCTTAATGAAGGAATATTTGCTGCAACCAAAATTTAACAGAATTATGGCCCTTTGTTGATTTTTTCACTATATACTATGTAGAAATTTTGTGAACGCAAACTCCTCTTTAACCGGATGGCAGATTTTGCTTAAACTTCCAGGGATTAACAAACTTAATGTGTAGATGGTAATAAAGGAAATTTTTGCTGCAAGCTAATTTAACAGAATTATGGCCCTTTGTTGATTTTAGTTTTCAACTTGTGGCACATGTAGTCCAAAAACTATTTGACCTAGAGTCATAAGATTGACAGAACAGTGGCTTGTGGGGGCATCCGTGTCCTATTGACACATTTCTAGTTTTTCTCAGTTATCATGTCAGTAATGGTTTAGAATTTGTCAGAAAAGTATCTGTGTATATTTTAACCACTGTTATTGATGTATAATTTGAAAAAGTGAGTTTTCCATACAAGTAAGACTGGTTAGTCAACATTGTTCTTTCAAACAGTGGCATTTAGAAGAAAAATCCTAATGGTTATTTGAATGACCCTGGTTTTAACTTTGAGCTCTGACCTGGCTGTCATGTTCACAGCATGCATCATTTTTGTGTCGCCTCGGAGTAGTGGCGATATATAGGGATCATTTCTCCGTCGTCTGTCTGTCTGTCCGTCACAAAACTTGTCCGGACTACTCCTCAAAAACTACTGGTGCAATTTCATCCAAACTTTAAAGGAATGATCAGTACCAAGTCTAGTTGTGCACTGTCTGTCTGTCTGTCCTACTGTCACAAAACTTGCCCCAACATGAAATTGGCCATCATGAGGCGACACATGTGATCACTGATCGCTCTTGTTTGTTATTTTGGTGTGTTTTTAACATAATACCTTGATTTCTTAACTAAGTTAGATAAACTTATAATATATGAGCCACTTGTCATTTGTAAATAAATCTAGGTTTTGCAATGCAAATACATGTTCATCCCAACAGATCAAAATCAAGCCAGCACCAGTGTATTGACCAATAAATAATAATTGCCTTTGGTGTTTATTTTCTTCATTTGTAGGTGGGCTTTACTAATAGATTACTGCCACTTTATTTCAAGGTGGGGTTTTTGGGTATCATTCACCTTCAGTGATAGTTCTAGTTTTATTCAGTATAAACATGGTAACATGTAAATGAAAAAAAAAACCTTCTTTTTTTCAGTGTACTGCATCAATAAACTAAATATGGAGAGTAGCTTAGTCACCAAAGCAGTCAACACCAAAATACACACAATGGCCAGGGCACTGAAACTTGGAAGAGTGAAAGAGTAAAGTAGTGCGTTTTTAGCTTACAAAGTGACATTGCGAGCTTTTGTCTATCATTCCTCTGTAAACTTGATCTTTAAACAACATCTCATAAATTGCCAAGCCAATTTCATGCAAAACTTACAATATTGTCTAGTCAGTTTTTGTTTTGCTTGCAATTGTTATATGACATGACTAAAGACATTTAGTTTTATTCTTCAGTTATTATGTTTATGTTTGTATAAGACCCAAATATATTGTTAAGATTCATTTTTACACATTTGAAAGCCATTATTGTTCTAGTCAGTTTTGTTTTTTGCTTGCAATCGTTATATGACATGACTAAAGACATTTAGTTTTAATCTTTAATAATTATGTCTATATTTGTATAAGACCCAAAAATATTGTTAAGATTCATTTTTACAATTTTAAAAGCCATTATTGCTCTAGTCTGTTTTTTTTTTTGCTTGCAATCGTTATATGACATGACTAAAGACATTTAGTTTAAATCTTTAGTTATTATGTCTATGAGGGGCGTCCGTGGCCGAGTGATTAAGGTCATTGACTTCAAACCACTTGCCCCTCACCACTGTGGGTTGGAATCCCGACAGGGACTTTGGATTCTTTCATGTGAGGAAGCTATCCAGCTAGCTTAACTGAACGTCGGTGGTTCTACTCAGATACCCGTTCGTGCCTGAAATAATGCAAGGAAGGGCACCTGAACGTCACGATATGACCTATACTGTGTCGATGTGACGTAAAAACCCAAAACAAACAAACAAAAAAATTATGTCTATGAAATTAGTTGTTTGTATAAGACCCAAATATATTGTTGTGATTAATTTTAACAATTTTGAAAGCCATAATTGTTCGTGTCAGATATTGTTTTGCTCACAATCATAATGTTATATGGCATGAGTTTAAATCTGAAGGTATTATGTCCATGAAATATGTTGTTTGTATAAGACCAAAATATATTTTTGAGATTCATTTTTATATGCCCGAAAGGGCATATTATGTTATACCCTCTGGCGTCCGTCTGTCTGTCTGTCCGTCCGTCCGTACGTCCGTCCGTCCGTTAGCAATTTGGTTTCCGGAGCATAACTTAAGTTCCATTTGGCCAACAATGTTCAAACTTCATAGGATGATTGCCCATATGGGTAGAAAGACCCCTATTGATTTTGGGGTCAAAAGGTCAAAGGTCAAGGTCACTATGACCTTAAAACTGAAACAGTTTCCGGAGCATAACTTAAGTTCCAAGTGACCCACAATGTTCAAACTTCATAGGATGATTGTCCATATTAGGTAGAAGACCCCTATTGATTTTGGGGTCACAAGTTCAAAGGTCAAGGTCACTATGACCTTAAAACTGAAAACAGTTTCTGTAACTTCTACAACATGCTTAAAATGATAAAACTGAAAGCCTCATACGTTTCCGGGTTTCTCTCATTTTACCACTTTGTTGCCATGGCAACAGAACCAATTAATGTTGTTGGTAGAATGCATATCTACCTTTAAAAAGAATAAAGACTAAAGAACATTTCAAAATGTAATCTTGTTGGTAATTCTTAGTCTTAATAATCGTTATATATCAGTTCACTAGAAATTGGGACTCAATATTCGTGTACCCCACCCACTTTAGTAATGTCAGAATTCACATTCTTACACAATAAAAATAAAAATAAGGGTACAGTTAGTAAGTTGTTGATCAGGGCTTTGTAGTATATGGAAAAAATATTCATTTTCACCACTATGCCTCGACTGATAGGAAAAAATGCCAGCCCCATGTCGATTTTTGATACTTTTTTAGCAAAATTTCTCTATGAAAACAAGAGTATATGTATAAGAAAATGGAAAAAGACCCATTTTCATATTGTTTCAATAGGATGTGAAGTTTTAACATCACCTGTACCAAAATAAATACAAAAAAGAACTAATTTTATCATGTAAATTGCGTATTAGCCATTTTTCAATAATTTGGCGGCCATCTTGGCGGCCATCTTGGATTTCTCAAAACGTACCATGATTTGACATGTCTACCCAATTTTTTTGTAAACTTCAAACATTTAGCTTTACATTGGTATAACATTTATCCATGGACCTTTTTTGCACACAAAAGGTCCCCAGGGACTGTACTACGGGAGAAATTCTCCAAATATTGTTGATCATTCCATTCATATTTTTGTAATCCTTCTTTTCAGAAGCTATGCAGGTATTTGTGTTCACGAGGAAATGTTAAGTGACACTATTAGAACAAATGCATACAGGTAAGTAAAATACATAAGCACGTAACACTAGACCAGGAAAGCATTTTTTTAATTATTGTGTTTATTTGATGTCTGAGGGTTTAACCTTTACTGTTTTTATTTCATCCGAGCAACTGTCAACAATTGTCAATCATTTTATTATTTTAAAATTTATTGTTTTATTATTTCTGAGGCTACTTTGATTAAATTTAGTTAATGATCAACATTATTTTTTGTCCAATCACATTGCAGTATTTTTCAAATTTCTGCTTCGTCTAACTTTGGTAAATGTCTACTAACTAAATAAAATTTACTTAATCCATCGTCTAACCAGTCTAACTAATATCAATAATGCATTTTATTAGGGAGGAGTTAGAGGTGTGGTATGCATTCTGAAATGTAAAATATGTAGGTACGGCATAAGCGAGAATGATAAACTACCACAAAAAAGTGATCTGTTTTTCAGACATTTCATTGGCTCCATTGTTTTCAGCTAATTGCATCATTCTCCCCGCTTATATATTCACACATTTTATAGAAACATGATATTCTTACTGTAGTCAAAGGTAT